ATTTGTGAAGAATGTACCTTTGGGATGAACACCACAAACAACAGCAACAAAAGCTGACAACAATTACTCACTCTACACAGAAGTCTGAATACTGCATAAATGAACAGGACAAGAGGTCCTGAGGAACTTACCTGTGGACTGTATAATGCAGGATTCTCACAGCAAAAGGATATTATAACTAAAGTTTCAACTCACGTTGCAAAGGTATAGCAGTGCTGCCTGATTCCAAAGTTCACTTAGTCAAGATTGCATTAAAAATCATACTAGGAAAATACCCTCAACACTGTTCTGAGTAGAGCTAACATTTATTTCTGAACTATAAGAATAAAACAATTTATCCTGCACCAGCTACTAGCACAACCGGTGCAAGTGAACATTTTGTTGATGTTGCCTATGACTCAGAGCACGACTTACACACCTGACTAGCTCTCCTGTATCTGAAGAGACACATTTTTGCTTGCTCGCAGTTCAACTCAACCTAAGGAGCTGGCAAGGTCTTTCCAACTCAGGGATATGGCTAGAGAGGATGGATGAAAGGTGGTCTGCAAGAATCGTTAGGGACCATCCTAAATTTTTTTTTTTTTTTCAGAAGCAATTACATGTCACATTTTTCTACTTCTTGACCACATAAGAAGATACAGCTTCACGACAAAAAGCATTTCAAAATTCCTTCTGTTAAACATGGTTATGTGCTACACCATTAAGGCGTCTCTCAAAGGTTCAGGCATTCATTCTGCAGTTTGAGAACCGTTAGACACCTGTTGTTCATTGCCCATCTAAATTAGTACAGCCTATGATAGAACACAATGTAAATACTAAACACAGTCTTACAGTGCCAGCAGCTACAATGTCCTGTTGTATTACTTGTGTTTACAGGCTCCTGTACAGTGTGCTTGCTTAAAGGATTTTACAGGAACTATTAAAGGGTTTTTGAACAGCTGCAATTTAGATCCATCTAAAATGTAGAGTAACAGTAAATGGGCTGCCTCAAAAAAGCCTTAGCAGTACATTCTACTACCAGTTGCCATGTAAGTTCTCTTAGTTCCCCAAAGCCCTTTTGTAATGCTGAAACAATTTTTAACTATTCATAACACACTGAACTGTAAAACACTCACAAAGCAGGTTTACCACTTATGTATACTATATTCACTTCTAAAGGAGAAAACAATCAGGCTTACTTAATTACCTGTCCTTATCAACTAAGTCTAACTGAAAAGCTGTTTTCTTAAAGAAAAAAAATAAGGCTCTAAACGATCAAAACCATGAAGGTATCAGAGACAATAGGGTCACCTGAAATGTAAACACTACCTGCACCTGCCACAGGACAGTATGAGAGTACAGTAACTAAATAATCTTAACTCTTGAAAGCTGCTGCTTAGATTTATACCACAGAAAACTAGTCTGAGACGCAAGCTCCTGACCTCAGATTGATTCTGGAACAAGGCTTCTGTTATGTGTAAAGTCTTTATTTTTGCTATGCCTGTAACTGGTCTACTAAGAATAACAGAATACATCCCTTTTCACTTAAGCTGTATCTAGTAAATGTATCCTCAAATCAAGGTGGAAAATTAACTACACACTTAAAAAGATAGGTCCTGGTAATACCAAGCCAAATATGTTAACTCAAGCTTAAGGAAGCTTTCTTTAACCATGGTTCTCAGCAGAAACTCTTCTTAAAAGATGGCACGAAATACCTCTGCCGTTACTATTGCCTTACTTCCAACTCCCGCATTAATTTGTTATTACTCTCTTTCATTGCAGCTCAAAGAGTTTGGCATCAAGTAAAGAACATTAGGTGCTCTTAAAAATGTTATTTTAAGATATCATTCCCCTTTCCAGCTCTTCTGTAAACTGGTATTTGTTAATTCAAAGGAAGGCCTTACAGCTTCAGTAAAGAGCCGGACCCTTATTTAGTACGCGCACAGTCTGCCCACAATTGCAGTTTGCCATCTCTACCCATTTCTCTTTAACAGGAAGAGAGTTACGAAACAAGTAGCCTGTGCCTAACTTTTCTAACCTAAACACTGTCACTCCAGATACATACCACACTTTCCCAGCCACCAAAAATAGAATGCAGAGCTTGGGAAGCCCTAATTCCAAGATCTGTTTTCCCCTTTAGCATCTAGCCCTCTTTCCATTAATATTTCAGCACAAAATTTCCAGAAGACAGAAGTATCCAATACTGACAACACCAAGAAACTTTTGCTTTAGGCTTAGTAGCAAAACCGTGCCTTTTACAGCATCAAAATGATGAACATTAGTTTGTACAGGCTTCCAAGCAGTTAAGTATCACCTGTCTGTGCTGGCTCTTAAACGTTTGGGGCTTCACGTCATAGCTGAACTGAATTAACTGCTTGCTGTCTCTCCTTGAAACTGAACCAACGCACGCTTCTGGAAAGGTTCCAAATTCCTAGAACTCCTTTTCAAGTCACCAGAAAAGCAAGTTAGAAGATGGGAGTGAAACAGTTTCAGGTCTTAAAACACTTACAATACCTTCACTACAGGGCTTCCTAAGACTAAAAGAAAACGTTCACAAGTCAGTAATCAAAAATAATACTATCTGGAGGTATTTTACTGCTTGCAGCCAACAACTTATTTCTCCCTTTACAAGATTTTAATACCAGAAATAAAAACAAAACCCCAAAATCCCGCATACCTACTTTAATCATAATAGCTTATAAATAATGACCCCATAAACAAACAGAGCTGTAAGTTCACAGAAATTTACCTTCTAAAACACCCTGAATCTAAAGAATCTCTTTTGGTGAATCTTAAGAGAAGATAACTCTATGACTCAAACAACTGAATTTACATGCCTTTCTCTTTTGTACAGGAAAGGAAAAACTTCTTGTTCTTACTTTGAAACAGTTTCCACTAATAAAAGTCAAAATACATGCTGTCCCTCCCTTTCACCCATTCTACCATAAAAAAAAAAAAAAAAAAAAAGGACCAATTTTCTTACAAATACGTAAGATACTACAAAATACATGTAATTGGCAAAAAGTAGTTCCTGCTCTAGGTAGGTGTGGAAACGTGTGCCTGTATTTAGGTTCAGGTATGTGATAATCCTTCTGGAGTACATTTTTCTTGTCAGATCCTTCTTACTAGTTATTCGGTTAGCCTCTGTAGAGCCAGCCCTCTCGCACTGAGACACTTACACCAGGTCACCCCAACGGGAGCAGGAGGTAGCCAGAGGAAAGGCAAGGCCCCGTGCTTCAGAGCTAGGTGAGGACGGCGAGACCTCCTCCGTTCAGCAGCTGTTATGTTGACTCAGTTGCTCATGAAATAGAAGCCTTGGCTTCACCTTGATTTATCCTTTGACCTTGGGTAAGGCAGGGGTATTTTCCGGGGTCAGCAATGCCAGTGCTTAAATCGCCTCAAGCGGCCTGAACCCCCTGCCTTCCCAGCCAGCCCCTTGTGTAGCTGCAGCGTTGCACCAGCCGAAGCGCTCCTGTGAACCGTGCCACGAAAGAGCCTGGGGAAGCGAGCTGGCTGCACGTTCCCATGGCCTTCTCTGTTCTTCTCTCTGTTCCTCGGCCAGTCCCGGGCCGAGGCACTACAGCTGTGCAGCGCCAATACTGCGGCTGAATGCCTGCTTCCCCTTAACCCCTGCCTCCCTGCAAAAGACAGGCCTACCTTTTCTGGGTCATCTCCCAGAGAAAAGCAAGAGAAGGAAACGAAGGAGGAGACGGCTTAAACCTGCACTGAAAATGTGACTGCAGAACGAGACGACGGCTGTGGTTTCACCACAGCTCCAACCCTATCTAAAGCGGCACCGCCGCGGCCTCCACCGCTGCAGCTCACAGCCCCACAGTCACGCTTCCCGCCCCCGCTCAGCGCTGGCACGCATCCATCCCTGTGGCACAGCGGTTCGGGGCGCTCAGCTCCTGAGATCTTGCATGTTATTTTCCTTTGTCAGGACCTGTTACGTTTTCTGCCGGCTTAACAGAATACTTAACCAGGCTTACTGCTCGGTCAGACAAACAAAAGTGTCAGTGCAAGATGGAAAGCCGTGCCAGACCGGGGGGGGGAACAGAACAAGAGTACGACTGCAACAGCAACAAACAACTTTAATCACTTTAAACTCTCTTGTCAGACCACAGTGTAAGAAAATGTGACAGCAACCTAAATCAACTTTTCTCAGCTGGAAAGTGCTGTTATAATGGCTCCCGAGTGTTCTGAGGCAGTAAGAGTCAGCACTGCCAGGAAATATTACTTAGTGAATCTACTGATATTTTTTTAGCAGTTTGCAATTGTTCATTAAACTTCAGAGCACTCTACATGAAATGGAATAAACGTTGCATCTCCCCTAGCTTTTTCCTCTGGCTTCATTTAATAGCAACCGTGAATCTTTACTCCAATCTACTTACTTTTCAAGTCAGTAAGAAATTGTATCTTAGATGAAGTATCTAATTTTGCATTTTGCTGTATGAAACTAACTCAATCCCATTTTTGCTGCTAAATGCAGGATCCCAAGTCAAATAATGAAGACTGACTGCAGGACTGTAGAATGTACCATTTTCCATGGAACTACTAGCACTGTTATCTACTCAGACTCTCAGTATTTAAAGTGCATGACCACACTCACGAGGATACTTAACTTTCAGAAAACAAAACAAACATTTCCCTCATGACCCCTGTCCCCTGAGTTTTGATTCTGCAGAATTTGACATCATTCATGCTGGGAAATTACTTACCAACAGCAATCATTTTTTAAAGCCTACAATCTCAGAAGCAAGCTTTCCTTGGAAAGCTTCATAAACATTTTTTTTTTTTTTTTTGGTGACAGATTTGAATAACAGTGAGTATTAGCATGCACAGAGATAAAAAACAGCACAGGTCATCTGCCATTCACTGGTTTTATTCCTAGAATTTCATGATGGCCATAAAATTCTGGTTCCTTTTAGCAATGCTGGTTGCACTTGAAAGGAAAATACATGTTTTATCCCAAGACAAAAAAAAACGCACGTTAAGCAAATAGAAAACCACCACAGACTTACTCTCTAGTTCTTCTTTCTCGAAGTTTGTATTGATAGTAGAGCTGATTTTGCCCATATCCACAACAGCTTCTTCATCATGACCCTGAAGAAACAAGACACAAGTTAAAAATACATAGTACTAATTTTTTCTGAAGTCCTAAATATATTTTGCAGTTCTGAAGCTGTTTGTCAGAGTTCTCTGAAACAACACATTTTTAGCTCTTAGAAACTGAGAAAGAAAATGTCACTGAAAAATTTACCCCTCCTATTCTTCAATAAAACATTACCCTGTACAGAAGGAAAAACAGAATATATCAACAGATATGCTAAATACTGTACAATTTGCTTTTGCAATGCTCTTGACTTCATCATATCAAGGATCAGGACATACGTTTCCGGAGTGCGATAATTTTCGGTTTACATTCAACAGCAATTAATCTACTTCAGTAGAATAACTGGCAAATTTATTAAAAGTTGCATAAACTAACATTCAGAGATCTTGAAGCCACTTGCTACGGGGACAGTTCCTATGTGAGATCTTCCAGCCCAAGTAAGAAACTTTTGTGAATCGAAGGTTATACAAAGGGCTGACAAAAGAGTTAAGTTACACAACTTGGGGTCTCTCCTAGACCAACAGTTTTGGAAAGATCAAATAACTCTTTCACTGCATTTCAGACAGTTTGTTAACCACACCCCTACCTAACTCACAGGTTTTATGCACAACGTCAGAAAACAGCACTTGCAAGACTACCTGTTCAGATCCCATCCCTGCTGAACCCATACCACTCATAGCGCAAAAGCATCGTGTGTGAGATCGACACAGGCTCAAGAACCAGGCTTATCTCTGAACACGTCCTCTCAGCCCATTTAGCCCATCACTAAAGCAGACCTTTAAACGCTGCCTTTTGCTCAATCTCCACAAAAATAAACCTCAAAATAACCAAGCAGTCGAAATCTCATAATCTCATCTCAGACTTTACATCAAAACATTCAAACTGCCTTTCTCCAAATGTTTGCATTCCTCAGAATAAAGTCCACTTTTAACAGTCCACAAATTACAGTCTCCTGACAGAACTGGTTCTCCAAAAGCACTGCTACCTACCCTGAGGGAAATGTTTTACTGTACATCTAACTATGTATAACGGCAGGCTAACTGCTAAAGAATACTGACCCTGTTCTTTCTGCTCCCCCGGGCACACACTTTTTTCCTTAAGTCAGGTCTATCAGTCATGAAGTCAGATACAAACAGCTGAAGCAATAGATTTTTTTTTTTTTTGTATTTTTCTTTCTTAAAACAACTTTGTTCGTTTTCCATTGGATCCGTTCATGAACCTGATTTTTCTTGTGGCCATGAGATAGCTAGATCCACCACAAATAAATCTGTTTGATCACCATTTCTGGCAGCAGCTCACTGGTGCATTTGAATCTATCAATGTGGGATCTCTGATACTGGTTTCATAAAGGAAAAAAATTGAAGCCCAAATCAAGGGTCTTATAGGAAATGGGAATCCTAACAATGTTGACATTCAACTAAACTTTGACCTTAGAATTACTCAATAGTGCAATGCTTTATATATAGAACAGCTTTGTCACGTCACAGAAAAGTGACAAGGATAAAAACCAACATACCCCTACAAGCTAAAACATAGTGTAGCAAACCCCACCAAAAAGAAATTTTTTTGAACACATAGCTCCTTAGTCTTAATAAAATAGATATTTATTATAATGTACCACGTGCACAGACACAGAAAAAAAAAATCCAAATCTTTGTCTGGCTATTAAGGAAAGTAGATTAAAAAATACGGAGACAACAAATATAGGGGGAAAAAAAATATATACAGATTTTCAGACGAGGATAAAAAAACAAAACAAAACAAAACAAAATAAATGTTAAAAGCAGTTAAACCACATAAAAAACAAAAGCAGATGGCACTAGGTAAGTCAGCAAGATACCAAAGAGTGGCAACAGGGCAGAATAAACCTCTGAAAATGAGAAGGTCAGTTCTGAGCTGTGTCCCTAAGAATGGGGGTTTCAAGAAAAGCATTACACAGTACCGTAACTTTGTCACTACTAATGAATTGCAAAAGTAGAGTTTTGCATGCATGTTAGAAAAATCAAAAACTCCTACACGCTCCAGACAGCTACAATCAAAAAATTCAGGTGATTAAAACAAAGTCACGTTTGATAGGCAAATCTGTGAAAATGTTGCAAGGAACTATTAATAAAGAAGTGGCAGGAACTTAGAACGTGTCATGATAGTAAGATTGGAGGGGGGGTCGTACATTCCTATCTCCTACACGCCAAAAGAAAACTACAGAGTCCTCTAGAAGATGTAGTCATAATGTAATTTATTTGCCTCTGTGATCTCTGATAAACATTCCGGAGGTAGGGAAGCACACAGTGGAAAAATGAGTCTGGCTCTTATCTTTACTGAAGACAGATTTTCCAACACAGCTTGGGGAAAAAAAAAAAAAATAACATGCATAAACTCAATAAGCAAAAAGAGGTCTCTAAGCAACAGCATTAAAAAGTTTCAGTTACCAATCTTTCCAATTTATCTCAGTGGCACAGAAATAGAAAATTATAGGAATGTAGCACACTCCAGTTCACAGAAACAAATACACACACAAATCCTGCCTGTTACCAGAAAACGCAAAATGGAGACGAAAATATTACAAATCCTCTAAATTATCTTTGTGTCTCATAATGACAGTATGACAGAGAAAACTCCCTAATATTAGGAAAACTGCTATCAAAACCTCTTCCACAATCAGCTTCGTGGTTACAGCCACAGGCTGCTGAAATACCCTGTACCTAACTCCCTCCCCGTCCATCCACCCAGCCAACAGTCCTTTCAGGACGCTTGGAAGCCTGCCAAACACACAGTTTTTGAGCAATAAAGGAAGACAAAGGTTTTCTCCAGATTATACAAACTACTGCATACTGACAGAAAATTACATACGCACTGCAGAAAATACATATGCAAGAAAAAATGTTTGTCTTCCAACAACATTCTGAAACTGTACTTGCTGCAGGCCTTATACCACGTTACTAATATTTATCACCCCCCTGGCTTTAGTAACAGAGGTACGTTGCCAACTCCATACATACAGTAACAGCCTTCAAAACCACATCATGTGAAAGTAACATGTCTTTTGAGATTAGATTACAGAAAGGCATGCATGCCCTTGCAAACTGTTCCATCGCTATCTCAAAGTACTCAACATATGCAAAGACTCTTCCAAGAATAAACCATGAGCAACCACAAGTACCATATATGAAGAAAGCATAGAATTTACAGCCTTTGTTTAGAAAAACACAAAGCATCATTTTAATATAACCATTTGTGATGCCAATAGCAAAGATTCCCACCATAAAATGCTTCTGCCTTAAGTCAGGAAAATATTCAAATACACTATAAAATTAATTCCAAGCTACAAACTTTTCCTTGCTAAAAATAAAGTCTGTAGGGCATAGGTTTCCAGTAATTACAGATCCACCGTGTTAGTTTAAGGCACAAAAGTGAGAGAAAACGGTTACATCAGACTATCTGAATCAAATCAGGTTCCCATTCTAGTTATCTCTTCTACTTAATGAACTTGGAATGCACTTAACTTCTCTTTTCAGTCCAGAGACAGAACAACTGAAAAGGGAAAAAAAGCAAAGCAAGCAGCAACCAGGGTGCCCAAGGGAGACCTTAAGCTTTCACCTTTGGTTCGCCTTTTCACAAGGAGATGGTCATTTATAAAAACAGAACAAATCCAGAGTACTTCAGGGGGAGGGGAGGGGTGGCGGGCAGAGAATCTTAGTACACTATTAAAATACACTGCGTATATATATAAACCCAACTTGTGGATACTCACAAATGTACTGGAGAAACCACCTCCCAGTAAAACCTTCGTATTCAGCCAGAGGTGCCTACATATACTACAACATATCTTCTCAGCCTTCCAACTTCCCCAGCATGAAAATGAAACCCCCTTTTCAACTGCTGAAGACCAGACAGAACTTTCAAATACTCTTTGCTCTAGTGGAATCCCAGGAGGATTCCTCTTGTCACCTCCGATTTTCAAATGTCTTTTTCTCAATCCAGGAGAAAAGAGTAATTCCCCTTCCCCTGCAGGCAAACAAGTATCCAGAAATTATTCACATTTCACTTATTTACCTGCTCAGACATTTCTTCATTTAGTACAGTACACTCTTCATATCTAAAATATTAATGCTACACGGTTCTTAAAAGTAGTATTTTTAAAAAGTCAATCCTAAATTGCATGAATCGTTAAGGAAAGCACACAAGTTTACAAGAATTAAGTTGTCAACCTCCAGTAGCATGTGTTAGTTACCGTCTAGTGGACGGACACAAATATAACGCACAGAAAATTAAATCTAAAGGAAATTTTCCACTGTCATCTGTACAAGCTCTTCTCACCAAGCAACTCACTCGACCTTATGCAGTCACGTATATGACAGATTTCAGAGGGGCACACTGCCAACGTGCATCACTGAATAACAACTTCCAAGAGATACAGCTTGCTAGCAGCACGTTTTTAATTCTACTCAAAATGTAGTTCAATTAAGTCATCCTGGTGATAGACAGTGATCAGACAAATGGCTGACACTGTTAACTGTAAGCCTTTGATATCTAAGAGTAATACAGAAATTGTGTTGAGAATAATTTTTGCTCATTTAAAACCATTACTCAGCTATGTCAATGTTTGTACGCTCCATTTACATCCCCCTCAGTCCAAAGATCTTCCCCAACAGACTTGGGGAACTGCCTGCAGCAGCAGAAGAGATAGCACTAGTGTTCATGGCAATTAGTAGAGAGCAGGAGTGGACACAAACAAAAAAACACAACCACCCCCCAAAAAAATTACATTATCACTTTCATGCTACAAAGAACCTTCATTGCAATATTTATTTGAGTAGATGTAAATGCAAAAAAAGAAAAAAAATTAAACAAAATAATAAAAAAAAAAAACTCAGTCACCCACCCAACCCCAAACAACATGAGAAAGAGGGAAATGTGTATTCATATCTACTTTTATTTCCTCTTATACACCTGCTTCTGGCCAAGAGTTTAAAACTTCTAATTTAGATAC